TTTGGTTCCGCCATGGAAATTCGTCGAAGCTCGATTTTGATTTTGATTTTGATTCTTGTTCTGTTATCTCAAAGGTCGGTTTCGATGCGATACGAGCTTAAATCTGGGCAAACGAAATGCATAGCAGAGGATATTCATAAAAACTCAATGTCAGTTGGGAAATACTTCATCGTAAACCCTAACGAAGATCAACCTCTACCTTCTTCGCATAAGATCCACGTCCAGGTAATTTCACAATCGATCGGTGATTTCATACATTCGAATTTCGATTTTTGTGATGATTTTGGTTGTGTGGTTTTTTTAGGTTATGCCGCCACAAGGGACGGGGATGATTCACGAAGCGGATAATGTTGAATCTGGGCAATTCTCGTTTACTGCGACTGAGACTGGGAATTACTTAGCTTGTATCTCCGTCGTTGATCATAAACCGGAGACGACGTTGACTCTTGATTTTGATTGGAGGAGTGGTGTTCACTCTGTTCACTCTAAGGATTGGTCTAAAGTAGCTAAGAGGACACAAGTCGTTGTAAGTGCATCTCTGTTCTTGATTTTGTCAACTAATTTGGAGGAATAATGATCAATCCCTATATGTGCCATTGCTTGAACCTGAGAATTGATCAAATTATGCCTCTGTGTTCTGTAATCGATCTTTGTGTTTATCTTTGTTTAGATTTTAGAGTTTAGGGTGTGTTTGGTTTCTTGATCTTGAATGTGATGATGAAATAATTATAGTGACTCTTTTTTTTAATCTCTAGTCTTGATTAGTCAATTAAATTGGAGGAATAAAGATCAATCCCTATATGTGACATTGCTTGAACCTGAGAATTGATCAATGCCTTTGTATTCTGTAATCTTTGGTGAAATTGATCTTTCTTTAGAGTTTAAGGTTTGTCTGGTTTCTTGATCCAAAGGAGCCAAGAAGACACAAGTCGTAGTAAGTGTCTCTGTTTTTAATCTTATTTAGTCAACTAAATTGGAGAATAAAGATAAATTTTGCAGCATTGTGAACCTAAATTGATCAAAGGGTATTAGTTTGGTCAAATTGATCTTGTTTAGAGTTAAGGGTTTGTCTGGTTTCTTGATCTTGAATGTGATGATGAAAGAAGATAGTGTAGAGAACTTGTGGCATCTGCAGGATTGTAAGGGTTTGTTTTACTGACTTGCTTGTGGTTGTGGTTGTTGGATCTTGGTGTTTTTTTTCTCCGCAGATGATGGAGCATGCGGTAAAGGACTTATTAGACACTGTTAGTTCGATCCACGATGAGATGTTTTATCTTCGTGAAAGGTAAATTAGACAAGTGAAGAAACCATTTTTTGTACCTTAGTTTTTTGTTGGTCTGGAGAAAGAGATTGATGAGTTTGTTGATACTTTGTTATTATATTTTCGGGTTTGGTTGTATCAGGGAAGAAGAAATGCAAGTACTGAATAGATCCACAAACGCGAAGATGGGGTGGTTGAGTTTTGTGTCTCTCGGGGTTTGTTTATCTGTGGCTGGTATACAGTTTTGGCATTTGAAAACTTTCTTTGAGAAAAAGAAACTCATTTAAGTAATAGACACATACACACTCATATTGTGGTAAGAGTAAGACTAATTAATACCATTAGAGAAGCTATATAACTTTTAAGTATACAGCAGAATTCATTTTCTTTGAGGCAAACAAAACACAAAAATCTAGGACTTGGGATCTTATGAAGTGAATCAGCTCCAGTGATCTGAGGGTAAAGTTTCCTTGATTTCTTCAAGCCTCTTGAAGATCTCCAGGAAAAGTAGCTGAAACAAACATATAATGGAGATTGCAATTCTCAAGCTCTCTCCGTTTACCCCAAAATGATTTTCTTCTTCCTCGAATCCGATTGCTGCTATAACTCTCTGAACCTCCTTAACAACTTCCTTGACAAAATCGGCTTCAGAGCTTCAAAATAAAAAAGACCATAAATCATACAATATCATATAAAAGATCAAAGAAGAAGAGTGAACGTGAGCGTGAGTGGAAAATACCTCTTGTCTCTGAAAGACAAACCCATCTTGTCGGAGATACACTCTAAAGCTTCCTTCCATTTCTTGATCTGATCTCCACTAGAAGCCTTTGCAAGNTTCCAAAAGTTGTCACCAAACTCACCTTCTTGTCCTCTCACGTCTTGTGCCTTGACCTTGTAAAAGATAGGAATGACTCGGAGCTTTCCTTGATCCGCAAGTTTCTTCATCTTCACCAACTCATCCATGCACCAGCTCGATTCCGCATACCTATATTGTATAAATTTCCACCATTAGTACGATCAGGCCCGGTTCATATAGATGTGAGGCCGAGTGCCAAACTTAATTAAAAAAATAACAAAATGTACCTAATATGTAAAAATTGAAAATTTTGGGCCCTTTTTACAATGTTTTCAACATTTAGGGCCTTAATCTTTAAAGAATTATTTTAAAAAATTGTGGGATCCAGTGCTTTTGCACTATGTATAAGGGCATGATTATGGATGGTAGATAAAGATAAATATAAGAGATTTTTAATATTATAAAATTTTTATATTTATCCAAACTACTTTTGGTTTTCTAATTATAGAATCTATATTACCCATATTTAGTGGGTAAATATAACATATCTCTCTATATCTCTATTCATCAATCATAATACAATTAGTATTATAAAATTCATGTATTATCTCAATCATATTTACTACATATAATCATGCTCTAACGTCGGGCCTGAGTATCCTACGATAGTATATAACATAGACATTATTTTACAAGAGTTATGAAATATTAGCTAACTTAATTTGTCAATCTTCTCTAGCTAGTACGTGCATTGTTAGTTTTAACATGCACACTAGTATACAAAACCTGGTAGAGAAGATAGCCAGCGCGATCCTCGACTCTTTGATTCTTACAAAGAGATTTTTGAAATCTTTGCCTCTCTCCTCGTATTTGTCTACGAAGAAGTTGATCTCGTGCCTCTCAAAGGCATCAATAAGGTGGCTGATGAAGTTGTATCGGAGTTCCTCTCCTCTGTAATTGAAGAACACTTGATGGGCATCCGTGGGAGAGAAGACTCTCATCGATGGATTGAAGAGGTACGTAAGGTAAGTATATGAAAGGAGCATGCAGTAAAGACCAGATGTGATAGTCAGATTGATAAAGTTGATTGCGCGCGGCTTAATATTTATAAAGGAGATTGATTGCGCAAAATTATTTTTTTTTTATAGAAGAAGGTGTTTCTCGTAGAAGTTTCTTTGGACGTTGGACGTTGGACGTTACACATATTATTATTATTTAAATAAAAGTTGTTTAAAACTAAAATATCATCACATGCATGTATTATTTTAATGTTTTTTCTTTGGAGTTTGGACGTTGGGCATATTATTTAAATAAAAGTTGTTCAAAATCTACTCGTTGGCTCAAGAGATTATCTACTCGTTGTGGAAGCAACGGAATGACCGCATCTTCAACAACAAATCTCTTCTTGCAGAAGAATTGTTTAAGAGGGTGGATAGGGGTGTTCGAAATTCATGTCTGTCTCGAAAGGGAAGACAAGGTTTTGAGGATTCTCTAGCTTTATGGTTCAGAGGTACTTAACCTCTAGTGTAAAACTTTTTCCTTATGCTTTTTGATTTTATACCTTCATGGCTATTGGTCGAAGATCCTCTTTTATTTCTTTGTAACCAGCTCCTAAAATATAAAATACAACCAGATCTTTT